AACCTACCTGTCTACCAATATGTAACAAAACAAACTACATACTCAACCTCATGCACTTAATAACAACAACTTCTATCTTATTTGGAACAATATATTAATTGAAAACAAAACTTGTTATTTCATTTAACACTTGTAAAATGTAATAAATACAGCAAAATAGCATGTCCTTAATAGAACTAAACACTAGAATGACATCCAAAAAGACTAGCTAGAACTCAACATATAAATTTCTTAACTATAACAATAAATCTAATACCTACAGTATCCATTCCAAATATACACAATTAAAGAGTTTCAAAATCAAATTTCTACTAAATGAGCTACCAACACTTTTAAATCTACATTACAGAAAACCTAAAATATATATTAATTCTACTTGCTACTACTGCTCTATACATATTGAAAACAACTCTCACTAGCTCAAATGCACAGCAAACCCTATATCTTTAAATCAAGTAATCCAACAAACTACTTTCATATTTCTTACTAAAAACAAAATTAAACTACAAAATATATCTACTTTATTACAACAACTCTTTTAAACATCAAACAGCACACATAATCTTCTTAGGTTACAAGACCTAATTCCAAACAACCCACCTATAATTAACAATATTAATTCAAATATACTTGTTACTCTATTTCATAAAATATTAAAAAATATTTACAATCAAATATGAACATAAAGATGCAAAACTGTGCATCAAAGCAGTTTATTAATAAATATAATAACAATCACAATTCCAGAACACCTAGTTACAGAACAAGTAATTGCAACAAAATATGAAAAATAGACAACTATTTTTCTATTACTAACATATCTACATCCTATATTGCAACACTAAACCTAAAAGAGTCTGACAACCTTTTCTAGTAGAATTTTGGACTGAGGATAAATTAATCCTAACTATAGGTCATGTAATAATTTATGTAACTCATTTATATTAATGTAATACCAAATTGTTCAATAAAGACCAAGGCCAGGCCTCACTCTTAAAAAAAAAATAAAAAAATAAAAAAATAAAAAAATAATAATAGTAAATATATATATAGTAATATATGTATAATAAATCAGCATTCGTACTGTGTAATACGTATGCACGTTCGTACAGATTAAGGAAAATCAAGATATAGCCTTTACACATAGCAAAACCCTATCGCTATATGTAAATTAGGAAAAATCAAGTTGCATATAGACGGAAAAGTCCGTACGTTATTTCTACATAACTATGCAACATACAAATATAGAAATCCCAAATCACGAGAATGCTCATCCAATAAGATACAGAAGAAACACCCCACTTAACTTGCTAGTAAAGCATACTCTTCGTATTTCATACTCTATTCCCGGTATATCACATATTAATTAACAAACAAAATCGTAAATTTTTATAAAAGTTAAAAAGAACGATATTTAATTAAAATTTATAGTTAAAGTTCAAAATAACTGGTACCAAATATTATTAATTTTAGATTATGAATTTTTTCAATAGTATTTATATTTATTTTATTTACGAAACCTCAATAATCTATATGCTTAATTCTCTGTCTAATTTCATTACGTCCAAATCTATGTATAATTCTACATTTATTCAAATTTCTAATATCTTACACTATACTATATATCGTATATTAAATGAATATTATTCTAATAAGAAACATTTTTAATACACATCATACATTTATAAATCGTATAGTTAATTAACATATTTCAATTTTCAAAAGAATTTCTATGCAATACATATAATAAAATATAAATATACTAATTTCTTTCTTTTACACTACCATAATTAAACGTTAGTTTGCCTTTTTTTTTGCGCAACGGACGAGATTTTGTCATAGTAGTGATTAATTATTTATAACTTCAACTGGCGAAGTGTAGTATGAAAGTTGTTGGATTAAGATGGATTAAACGAATATATTGTAAGCAAGGTGAGAACTTCAGGTTCTCTACCCGAATTTCCGAAAAAAGTATTGTAATGCGTATAAAAAAAAAAATCCTTAATCATTTGTGTAATGATCTACAAAGTCGGGACACTCGGGACGTTTCTACCTCTACTTCAAAACTTCTTGAAATATCGACGGCTAGACAATTCTATATATATATATACCTAAAATTTTTTTTACTAAGAAGTAGGGAGGAATGTCTGGAGAGGCAACGTAAAACACAGAATCAAATTGATCTTGCCTAAACGAAAAAAGAATGAAAGTACAATAAATTATAAAACTAATCAATAAATGCAATTACACCAGTAGATTTTATTTTTATTGCACTTCCGGTTATGAATTTGAATATTTATTTGAACAAAAGTTTTTATAATCCTGAATTCAGGACGCAATAACAAAAGATTACTGAAGAAAACATAATTAATCCAAATAGTAACAAATGGTTCGATAGTATTACTAAAAACTTTGAGCCATTGCACAAATTGGAGGATTATAATCATTTTAAAAGGCAATGAAATATTCCAAATACTTAGAAATACCGTAATCATAATACTTTCTAGTTGTAGATGATTCGTAATAAATAAATAAAATCATTAATCTATTATTTATCATTATTATTTTGTTAGTCTAAATTTTTTGTTTGTATTTTATTGTAATTGTTGAACCTTTTTTTGGCGGCGATTTTACTCCGGTCTCATATAAATAGTGGTGTCACCCAAATTACCAAAACTAGGTTAACAAAGTCCCAAATATTTGCTGCTATTTGAGTGACATTAACTCCGATGAAAAATCTTTCATTATACGACTAATATATCAATTTTTGAATATTAAAAAATGCCAAAAGTGCTAAATAGTTGTAGACCATCTTTTGTTTCATAGAGTTGTTCGGATTGCTAAAATTTAGATCCTAAATTTGCACAATGAATTTTTAGCAACTGTTCTTCGATTAATCGCATTAATCACTCAACAAATTGTAATAATCTGAGAAATGTCTCGATCACCAGCTATTCATATTGAGAGAGCTGCTTGAGAACACTCTTAGTCTGTGCAATGTTTGGAAAATCGTAAAATATCCTAATACGTACTTTAATTTCTATCGGGCGGCGCCGCGTGTGTAACTGATTGTCAGTTTATCGCGTGATCGTCAAGTGATTGATCATGAATGATGTTTTTGTTTATGTAATTAATAATAACCAATCGCAAAAAAAAAAGCTATCCTATGACCGGAATAGAGATATACGTAATGGTAATGTCATAATAAGCAAATTCGGAATTTTTGCAATGTTCTTATGATATTGCTCAAGGATAAAAGTCCCACCCACGTACGTACTAAAATGCTTGGACATTTTTCAATATGATAACACTACCGAACGAATGCTATTATTTAATATTTAATAACTTCCGGCATAATCATAAAAATTTATTTTCATGTGCTCTTGTAAACCGTCAATGGTGTAGAATTGTTATACCAATACTATGGAGCGAACCAGAGCATCATTTCAAAGATAAAAGACTTATAGAAATATTTCTTTTAATGCTAAATGTTAAAGAACAAGCCCTATTAGTTCCTTTCGAAATTACTCTTCCAAACCACTCAAAATTAATATTTGAATATACAAGTTATATCACATCTGTTAGTAGTTATTTGTCTGAGGGTGTTAGAAATTGGCTTCCTTATGAAAGCTATGAATCAGGATGTGAGCTTGAAAATGTTGTTGAATTTTCTTTGATTTCAATGCTTTTACGAACTAGCAAGAATCTTAAATATTTAAGTCTTAATGTAGTTATTTACAATCACTTAATATTTGAAACTCTTTATGAGAATAGTACTGTTACCTCCTTGGATTTATATAATAACTTCAGTGGTAGTTTTAAGTGTAATGAAATAGATGGACTAGTAAAATTCCTTAATAAAAGTTTTTCTTTAACTTCTTTGAACCTTAGATCAATTAAACTTGGGTCTGAAGAAGTGAAAACATTACTAAAGACTCTTTGTAAAAACACTGTCCTAAATTCTTTAAGTCTTTGTCGGATTGGTATTGAAGGGGGAGAGGTATTAGCAAAATATCTTTGCAAAAACACGAAGTTAACTTCTTTGGATATTAGTTGTAATAATCTTAAATCAGAAGGTGGAAAAGCATTAGCGGATTCACTCTGTAAAAACACTATGTTAGCTTCTTTGAATCTTTATTTTAATGAGCTTGGTGCAGAAGGAGGAAAAACATTAGCAGATGCACTTTGCAAAAATACCACGCTGACTTCCTTAGACCTTGGTCATAATTTCCTTGAACCAAACGTAGGAAAAGCATTATCTGATGCGCTTTGCAAGAACACCACGCTGACTTCTTTGAATCTTGCTTGGAATTGTCTTGGAGCAGAAGGTGGAAAAGCATTGGCTAATGCACTTTGCAAAAACACTTCACTAAAAACTTTGAATCTTCAATCTAATAGACTTGGATCAGAAGGTGGAAAAGCATTAGCAGGCGCACTTTACAAGAATAACACGCTAACTTCTTTGAACCTTGGTGTAGGTTATATATGTGGTATATCAAATAATATTGGATTTGAAGGAGGAAAAGCATTAGCAGGTGCACTTTGCGAAAATACTACATTGACTTCTTTAGATCTTACATGTAATAACCTTGGACCAGAAGGAGGGAAAGCATTAGCAGAAACACTTCGCAAGAACACCACATTAACTTCACTAAATCTTAGTGGGAATTATCTTGTATCTGAAGGTGGAAAAGAATTAGCAAATGCTCTTTGCAAAAATACTACGCTAAAATATTTAGATCTTCGTGATAATTGTATTGGGCCAGGAGTAGGAAAAACATTTGCAAATGCTCTTTGCACGAACACCAAGTTATCTTCTTTGGATCTTGGTGGAAATAATCTTGGACCTGAAGGAGGAAAAGAATTAGCAAATGCACTTTGTAAGAATACTACACTTATTTACTTGAATCTTAGTCGTAATAAACTTCGTGCAGAAGGTGTAAAAGCGTTAGATGTTTCACTTTGCAAGAACATTACGTTGACTCTTTTGAATATTCAATCTAATGATACTGATTTGGAATTAAAATCTTACGTTCAAAATAGAGAAATACTGCAATAAATATAACAAGTGTAATAACTATGTATTAACTATTTCTACATATAATAAACTTACTCAGTTAATAAAAAGTCCGGAAATTTTCATTTGTTGGTCATGTGGCATATTGTTTATTTTTAAACAAATCAAAATACAAACGGGCACTTAGTAAATTAATAAAATAATTTATCTAGGCTTTAGTACTTGAGATAAATCTATCCCACGCACGTGATTTTCGCTAATAATTTTGATTGGAGGTTACACTTATATCCTGCAAACGGTTCCTCCGTATAGATCGGTACCAATAAAATACCAGTAAAATCGCAGCTACCCGTGAAGGATACACCAATTAGATCTTTTCTAATAAGCAACGCCAAAATCACGATTTTTTAAATAAAATCAAAATTTTGTCTATGAAATCATCTTTTGAGTACTAATAAAAAAAAAGATAACTTCTATTTATACCCAGTGGGTACATACCCGGGTATAAGAAAGAACAAAAATCATTAATATATTAAAATTTTATTAAGAAAACTGGTGTAGGTGAAAATGTTAAGCACCTAATATTATTTACAAATACACCTTCAACTCTAATCTATCTTAACTTACCCTAACCTAATACTGTTATATATTTTATACCGGGTATCATACCCTATTGGTACTTTTTTTTTAAAAAAAAATTCCTTGAAATTTTGATACGTATAAGACATGCTTATTACCTAACTATAACATAAGGTTTTATGGTTTTGCATATTTGTTTTGATTAGCGTCGATCATCTGATTGGCGCATTTCCCACGGCCCTATTAGGGTAGCCGTACGATCATATAAATGTTCAATGTCTACTCTATGGATTTTGTAAAACATTTTAAGTGGTTGTACCAAGAAGCTGATTTTTGATATATATGGAAAATTGCGTAAGAATTATGAAATACAATTTAAAAATTGGGTATATGACGGTCAAATTACGACATAATTTAGTAATCGAACATTAATTTTTGTGTGTGAAATCGGTTTTTTATTTTTTTGGAGAGAACTGTTTCATGACATGTTGAATGCTTGTGCGGTTATGATAATTATACTTTCGATCGTTGATGATTCGATTCAATAAACAAATAAAATGCTAATGATTATTATTAAAACATATACTAAAATAAAAACGGAATTTTTGATCGTCATAAATCTGCACGCTAAGTTATTTATTCGATTAAATTGTGTCATGAGCATACTGTGCAATTACGCACAATTGACAAAATAATTATAATCATCTTGAAAAAAACATGTTCGATATTTTTAGGCTCTACTATTAAATATACATAGAAAATGGCAATTTTCTGCATTAATATTCCAATTAGAGGTGGAACCCGAGTAGACATCACCCGGGTTACTCGCGGGTGGCTCGGGTATCAGGGTTGCAATTAATGGAGTTAAACCTTTAAGTTAAACCTTTAAATAAAACCTATAGTGTCACCATCGATGGGAGAGTTTCCAACGAGTCTAACGCCGATGGTGACGTATGAGAGATACAGAAACCTCAGAGAACTTATTGTTGACATAAACAAGTTTTGCACCTGTCCATGCACTGAAAGTTTTTAACAGCTCTAGTGTTGTTACTCCAAAACATTTTAGCAGTCAACCAATTTTTAGATCAGATATATCAAATCTTCAATATAATAAAAAAGGTTGATTTTCAATTTTTTGCATTAGTTCTTAATTTAACAGCAAAATTTTTAGTAAAATCTTTGAGATGATAACATTAGAGTTTTAGTAAAGTTTAAATTGATTGACTTGAATTAATGTTAATAAATTTAAATTTTGAATAATATTTTTTGAATAATAAAAGAAATTCAATAAGAATACAAATAAGGTTTATCTGTTTTAATTCTTCTATTCTATTTTATAGTTCAAAATAATTTAATAAAACTTAAACATGTACAAATAAATTAATAATGTAGTAATAGGATAGCAGGTATTTTATTTTCTTTATCATTTTAATATTAGAGAATTATAAAATTAACAATTAGTAGATCCAATTAAAAATGATAGTAAATTTTTTACTAACTTGTAATTTGAATTTATTATAATTTAATTTATAATAAAATTAACAAGTTAATTAATTTAAACTCTTTTTGCAAATTTATTGTACAAAAATTAATCAAAAAATTATTGTCTTAAAACACTTATAACTATTTATTTTACTAAGGTAATCTGTTCTAATATTTTAAGTAAACTTGTTAGCATTATATTTTACTATACTTTGCAAATATCAAATTTTTAGATTTTAAACTTATTGAGAAAACTGTACTAATTATCTTTAGTTGCTAGTTTCAAAATTTGAATTTTTTTACAGTTTTTACTATTATAACTTGTTTTATACTCTTAAATAAAGTTATAGTACATTTTTATCTAATTAAAACAAGTTCTAAATAAAGAATTTTGATCTAATATTTTATTATTCAATTTAATACTAGATTCAATATTAAATTTTTTTTAATATTTTTAAAATATTTTTTTATATAAGATTTTGTATTTCTTTATTCAAATATTACTTTAATTATTTTAACTCTTAGTTTAAAACTTACTTTTCTTTTTATTGTTATCAATTTTCTTTTAATATTAATAAAAAGAAAGTTTGTATCTCTTTTAAAATACAATTCTGTTAATATTTTATTCTTCAATTCTTTAAACATCTTATTAAATCTTATACATTTCAAAAATTTAACTTAATTTATAACTGATATAAAAAGTATTTTTAGATTGTTAATTTTTATTACTTTATTATAACAATAAATTATATTAATATTTTGATAACAAAAAAAATTATAATAGCATTAATCTTTGTAATAATATTTTAGATAAATCTCATTTAACATTTTTTTTTTAAAATAATAAAACATGATTTTACCTAATTCTTAATATGATATATATTATTTTATAAAAATAAAGATCAGTTATCTTACTTAATTAATTTATTATTATAAAGCTTTAGACAAGTTAGCTAATCAAACTAAAGATTTTGTTTATAAACAAAATAAAATTAAAATCAACTTTAAATATTATAATTATTACTTTTATTGTTATCTTTTTCTATATTACTAAACTTTACAAAAAAATATAATATATATATTTTTAGAAAAAGACAATTAATCTGCTAGCAAAAAATATTATTAATATTAATTGTTTATCTAAATTATTACCTACCTTAATGTTATCAAAAATTAAAAATCTACTTATTTACAAATTATTAAATACTTTAATAATATTACTTATTTAATAGCTAAGAAATTTTTAATAAAAAATTTAATATTAACTTTTAATCAGTTTCAATTCTTAACTTATTCTTTTATAATTTTCTTTTTAAATTTTTTATTTCTATAACTAATATTAAAGCAGCTATCATCTTATTAAAAGATATAAATATTATAGTTAATAAGAAAAATAAAATAAGTAAACAGATAAACAAGCCTATTAATATAAAAGATTAGATAATAATAATTAAACCAAATATATAAAAAAGATTATAAATTACAATTACAACACTCTCTCTGCTGATCCTAAATTTTCAAATAAGGCTAAAAGCAAATACATAGAAAAACGTAAAAACAGTCTGATAAACTTCACTTGGACTACTAAGAAAAAAGATTTAGCAAACAAAACACAACTACTTTGTCTTAACAACAATATAAGCAAAGCTCTGTTAAACAAAACTGTTATTGGTTTTCAAAACTTTTAGAAAATTTTTAGGAAAAATTAAAAAACAGCATTTGATCCAGAAAAACAAATCAGAAGCATGTAATCAGTATACAAAATAAACAAAACTAAAGCAACACATCACTTTATACCAAACAACAACAAGAATCAATGATAATCAGCCCAATTAAAAAACAACAGGTAAGTACAGCATATGTAGCAAGCAGATGGATAAACATCAGAAAAATCTAGAAACAGAAGTACAAACAAGATTGGGGCTACCATGTAGTACAAGCCTAATACAACATATTAGAGGCTTCAGTGATAGAAATAGGAGATATGTAGATAGCAAAATACTAGATTCAATTCTGTTAAAGCTGATAAATAAGCCAAACAATTTAGAGTATATAGCAAGAGACCTAGCAGTCTATGATCCAAAAAATATAACATCAGATGACCTACTTCGATATGGCCAAATTTTAGAAGCACTTAAAATAGCAGCAGTATGCACTGTATCACATAGTACTGTAGAAGAATAGGCAACAAATTAGCAACAATAGACATAAACCCAAAGTCATTCAACTATCAAGAAAGTACAAATGAGAGAAAAATGTCTAAGGAAAAAGTTAAACCAAAGAAAACAGAAAAGACAAAAGAAATTAAAAAAACAAAAATAGCACTAACTATAGAGAAAAAGAATAAAGAAGACAACAATAAAGAGAAGGAAATAACCCAAGATTTACAAGGAGTTATAGAACAAATGAAGAACCTAAGCATCTCAACTACACAACAACCAAATCTTGGAAGTTCCCAAAATATAATTAAAAGAAAACTACAGAATACAGCAAGAGGTAGAAACAACAACGAGAGAAAAACAAATGAAGAAGGCCAAAATTCTCTAATTGATAGTAGAATATATAAACTTAAAGAAGACATCAAAGAAATAGACAGAAAAATTGCTGAACTTAAAGCAGAAGAAGAGAGGCAAAAAATTCCAAAAATAACAGACACAATAGAGCAAACTCAGTAGTCACCAAAAAATCATATATGCAACAAGAGCAGATCATTTAAAGCAAACATGCCAACATACCTAGTACCAAGAGAAAACAAGAAAGAGAGAGTAAAATACACTTAATGGATTTTTCGAGAAAATCATCATATTAAAACAATTTATAAAGTTTTCAAGAATGGTAATAGTTGGGTAGAGGTGAACTTTGACTGTGAATTTAGTAAAGATGTAGCAATAGAAAGAATTAAAGAGAAAGAAGGTGAATGGCTTAAAATTATTCTAGAAAAACAAGAAACTCAAGATAGAAAGCAAAGTCAACAAGTATACAAAGACAAAAAAAAAGAAGAAAAAAAACCCAAGAAGACTAAGAGACAGAAAGAAGAGGAAAATGATGAAGAAACTTATATAATAGAAAATGAGCTAGAAATAGGATCACTGCTAATGATATAGAATTTGCCAGCTAATATTAACACAGAAGAAGTAGATTATATGTGCAGAAGTATTAAAGAAGCACAAGTAAAATATATT